GAAGACTGCTTTTGGTGCCCCTACTGGCCACTACGAGTATCTGGTCATGCCCTATGGACTTGCCAACGTCCCCTCCGTATTCCAGGAATTCATGCATGAGGTGCTCCGGGAGTTTCTCCATCGATCCGTCATTGTCTACATAGATGACATCCTCATCTACTCCCGGAGCCATTTGAATACTTCCTGCATTACTTACCTCCTGTGTTCCTCCTAGTGTCTCCTCGTCTCCAAGTGTCTCCTGTTCCTCCTAGTTCCCGGATCGCTGAGGTGTGTGTTCCTCCTGTGTGCATTCCAGCTCCTGTAAAGCCAAAGACTCGGATTACTCCACTCGTCATATCCTTTGAACTGGTCTACGAACTATTCACTCACCATCACATCATCTGGACCCTACACCCGTACTCTCTGTGACCAAATAAAACTGTTTTATAAACACTAACCTGTTGCGTCAGACCTCTTCCGTTACAGTAACGCTCTCTGCCCTATTACAGACAGGCCTGAGTGGGTAGCAGCAGTCCGCCATTACTGTTTTCTTGCTGTAGCTGCTGGACATACAATGTCAGCGCTAAAGAGGCATTGTATTGTGTGTTGGGATGCACCAATGAACATAGGAGTCTCCATACACTCCCTTCATTTGAGCCACTGAGGACACTGTGGTTAAATTTCATTTTCGAAGGAAATGTCCCAGAAAAATCGGTAAAGTTAGGACTGACAAAAAAAAATTCGAATTTCGTATATTCGTCGAATTTAAAATAAAAAATCTACATTCGAATGTAAAAACGATGCATTCTAATTTTAGATGTGCGTTAAGGAGGCTGCCTTATCAGTGGCGCACGAGAAGCGATGATGACGTAAGTGTCATTGCATTTTAATGTTTTTGTTGGCCTATCCAGTTAAAGCCACTGGAACAACGCTGCTGCATTGTTAATTACAAATATTGTGGGAAAAGAGAACATAAATGTGGAGAAGATCTTGTTTACGTCAAAACTGAAACCAAGCCGTTCACACAGAACGCATATTTCGCGCATTTTCTAGAGGGACATCTATCACTGTTGCACTCGCGTCTCGCACAAGAGAGCCGCATGTTCAGAAAGCCATGTAAAATTAATGTAAGTTCAACTTTGAAAAAATATATCTCGAGACTTTATGGCGGGGTTTTTTCCCCATCCCACTGCATCCCATTTTAAATGAAAAACATACTCTTTGTGATTGGCCTTCGGCACTTTGTATTAAACTATGCATACATACACGATGCTGTTTTGTTTATAGTGGCCTCAGGAGAGAAGCCAAAAGCTTTTCTTCACCCTAACTGAAATTATGCCTTTTAAATTAGAATATAATTTGAATTTTGATAATATTTAAGTACAAAATTCGAATTTAGTTTTTCAGCCATTTTGACAGCCCTAGTCCCCTATATGTTTAGGGATCAATACCAACACTTTGTGCGCAAACGTCAGCTCCAGACAAAGTATCACACGTTTTTTCCAAATTGCATTTCTGAAAGAGCTTCTTGGCACTCTGTAAGGCTAATATTGCTAAAGCTACCATTATCTCTGCCTGCCTTTCACATGCTACCAGAATGATCATAAATAGGAATGTGGTAGTTAAAATTACATATTAAAGCAATGTGAAGTCGACCGCTTGAATTTGTCGAGCTCATAATCACATGTGGGACTTATAGTTTGTGATAGCTCGCTAAGGCACCACAAGACCAGCTGTCGTTATTTTTAACACACCGTGCTCCCCGTCTGTGTAATTCATAAATGAGCATTTATTATGCACAGTACAATCAGATGACTGAATTTTAAACTGAGTGCATTTTCTGTAAAGATAACAGGCTTGTACTAATAGTGGAATGCTTATTTGTATGCTGGAGCTTGAGCTCTTGAAGCTCCGCCCTCATTTGTAAAGGGGTCTGGAGCACCAGCTCATTTGCATTTAAAGGGACAAACACAAAAACGGCACATATTGGCTTATAACCTAAAAGTGGCAATTTTAACAAGCTATAAAAAATTATCTGTGGGGTATTTTGAGCTAAAGCTCTGGGGACATCAAATACTTATTTTACATCTTGTAAAAAGGGGCATAATAGGTCCCCTTTAATGCTTAGAGCTAATACTAAATATGTTTTATTTTGTAATACAATAAAATTATTTCGGTCTTCATCATTCCTATGGTTATCACTATGACAATTACCACAATTTAAATCAGGAACATTTGTTTTGAATCTCTGCATATATGTCGATGCTGTTCTTTGAGTACACTGCCTTTTGGAAAGCATTGTTTGTAATGAACCTACAAGCAAAACACCTTGGTTAGACTCACCGGGCCGGCCCAAACCAATCTTCTCCAGGTCCTCATTCTTCACATAGTCAAAGTGTGAGAGACGTGTAACGTTGAGCTCATCACGGATGCGCAGGAAATACTGCTGCAGTTGCACTTCCATCAGCAGCTCCAGCAGCCACTCAGTGCCCTCTTCACACTGCATACTGCTGCCCAACTTCTGCACAGACAGAGACACACCAATGAACTCCACAGAGCTATTCCCCATAGGTAATGACTCTCCCAAAACCCCAGAAGCAAGCATGTTAATGCTATTTCCAGCAAAATAAACTAACAAACTGTCAAAAACAAAAAGTAGTGTCCAACAAGACAGGACCAAGCGACCAAGTCCAGAAGTGTGATTGAACTAAATCACGTTTGATAGCATGCTAAATGTGCAGAGTGTGCAGCAACAATGAGTGGGGGGAAAAAAAACGATACAGTTGGCTTTCACAGTTTAACCGTGGCGCACATCTGGTGAGCACACACACACACACACACACACACACAGACCCAAACATGAACATGCACACCTGAAGTTCATAAAACACAGATGGCATTGGCCCTGGCCCAGGCCACATGTACTAAGCTGCTCTCTAAATCTATTTAATTACTCCCAAAAGGAGCATCTCCAAACCTCCAAAACTAACCAGATTACATAGGCCTTACCTTTTCACAAAAGCTGCTGCATCTCTAATTCCATTTCAGACCCAATTAACAACAATGTCTTGACGTATCAATAAAAATCTAAATCCTCATGTCCCAAAGTCCTTATAACGTTTAAAACAATGAACATCAATGGTCCCTTTAAGTTTCTGTTTTGCAATAAGAGGAACAGATAAATGGTGCAGCAAATGGATGGAAGAACACTGAAACTGATGCTTGGAAGCTCTGGGACAAATAAAGTGTGCTACTGTTTTCCATGGTCTGCTTTTGTGCTTGTTTTTTCTGTTGGAGCATATTAGACATCAGCTGCTTTCAATTTTCAATCTCTCCCTCCCCCTGCACTCCTTCACACTGGTGATCTTTCTCTGACACACTTTATTTCTCTGGAGGTCTTGTGGTAAGTCACTTCTTAACAACATTAAGGCAAAACCCGGGATGGTGAGGGGCAGGAGTTGGAGAGCATATCTTGCGATCAGAGAGATAGCAGTGTCAACTAGCCCTTTTGAATGACACTGCATGTTTGCATGCATCTGTGTGACTGTGTACCTTTTAAGCTTTTGTTCTTTTGTTCATGACACTTTCTTATGCAATGCATATGATGTGTGCAACTATAACAGGCTGCTAAGGGTGCAAACTGCAATACAACTGCAGACATATGTTTGCACTTTTAGTTTAATGCTAAATTCCAAGGGGGAAAACTGTGCTTCAAACTCAGTCAGTTCAATCAGATGTAATCAGCCAGATTGCACTTCCAAAAAAAAGGGATGAAAAAGCAGCTGTGAGGCATTACAGTGTAAAAGTTTCTCTTGATGTGTTGAAATTAGGGCTTTCAATCAGTTACAGACTGTACACAAATTATTTAGCCTACGTGAAATGTCAACGGATCAAATGATGTAAAATGATTTAAAACAGTGCTCAACCGTTTTTTTTTTCTTCTGATGGCAGATGCCGAGATCTTAGAAAGCAGGGTGTCCGATGGCCGATTTTTATTTATAGGCATCCTTCAGTCTGGATCAGGCTGGATGAGTATCACCAGTACATCATTGGTTGTGACTCAAAAGTCATATTTAGGACAAAACTAGGGATGTGCGCGACGACTAATTTGACTGTCGTTTAAATGGAAGTTTTGTATCTGACTAAAAGCAAGAAACCCCCAAAAGATGGTAAGAAAAAAAATAAAACTTTGTGCGTGCGTGTATATAATAGCCTACATTTGAAATACTTAATCTATGAATCACACTGTCAAATCCCTGAATGAATTCAGCTAAACATAGGTCACAATTATGCCGTACACTTGCCTCGTGTTATCATCATTTAATTTTAGGCGGTTGTTAAAAAGAAAAAAAAAAAGAAAGAAGAGCACACCGTGGTCTGGTGAAAGACGGGACCTGAGGCGATTAACAATAAAATTACGGCACTTGAAAAAACGCGCTCGGCAGGAACTGAAGTCGCAGGCACGCAGAGATAACGAAAAGCAAGCCAACAGAATTTCGGAAAGCGTCTGGACATCCCGCACTACCACCGAAGTGGGTCTTCGTTAGAGGAATAGACAGCGGCAGCGGGCTGTAGTGAATGACGTGATTGACATTAGCTGGCTTTGGCTAGTCTCTAAGCTAACGCCTAAGTGCCTGTATTGAATATGATTACGCATCGCTCCAGTAGAGTTATTGTAAGACAATTTGACATTACACAGTTTACACAAAACTTTTCCGTTTCCTTCTAATTCAAAATAATCCCACACCTT